GGAGGGGTGGGGGGTGGGGAAGGAGTAATAAGTGCTTCCTCAATGCCGATACCGAATACCTGCGCCAAGCTAGTATTGTGTGGCAACGGTGGTCTTTTCAGAAGGAAAGAAAAAAAAAAGATGAAACATTAATACTTTTTATGAAATTAATAGATCTAGTAAAAAGAAAGCTGAAGTTCTCAATACCTTCTGAACTTTGCTGGCATATTACATGTATTTTGGTGATAGATTAAAGTGTGGGTGGTTGGCGGGTGCTCTGGTGTGGTTTGCTCCTTCTTTCCTATTAAACATCTATCGTCCTTATCTCCCCTTCTTTCTTTTAATATTTGTTACTCTCTTGTAACACCTCTAATCTTCTGGCGCTCATATGACCTTATGCAGGTGCGAGCACCGTAACATTTCTACTAAAACTAAACGAAACTGATAGATTAAAGTGTGTGTGTGTGTGTGTGTGTGTGTGTGTGTGTGTGTGTGTGTGTGTGTGTGTCGGTGCCTGCCCCACTTTGTTGCGTTTCACTCACAGGTCATTCAACTCCTATAGTCCACTCACCTAACGGTCAGCTGTGCTACCTCTCTCCTCTTTTTTTAAGTAAAGAAAGCTGTTTTTAGAAATTCCTGAGGTCATTTCCATTCTCTTTGTCTTTTTAAAGAATCACTCGAACAAGAAATAGCAACCACAATAAAGTCCCGTCAGTTATATAGGTTCTTTTCACAGAATAATGGTAGTGCCTGTTTAAATTTTTAAAATTCCAACGGAGTGGTGGATGTCATTTTTCTTCAAGGGGGAACCTGCTGATGAACAAACTATTTTAAACTGAATGATATGATTTCAGTTTGAATTACTGCATTCTTCAAATATATCTGTGCAGTTGCCCCTTGTCGCCATCATGTGACTCAGTTGATGCTTTTGTTGTTTTTTTGTTTAAAAAAAATCTTAGTCACAACTAAGTAACATTGTAGGGAAATGTTCTGTTACCTTCTGCCAAACCAAAATGCTTTTCATCTGCTCCCCTCCCCCAATCAGTTTTCCTGTGTAATCTATGGGATTTTGGCAGACGGACAAAACTGTCCTGTCTCATCTGGAATCCAGCATGAAATAGATAAATCGCTGATTTGGTTACGTATTTTTTTTATTGTGTCTTTTGTGTTATCGTGAAGGCCGTCTGTCTGTCTGTGTGTGTCAGCCTGTGTCTGTCTGTCTGTCTGTCTGTCTGTCTGTCTGTCTGTCTGTCTGTCTGTCTGT